AAAAACATTTCAACACAACAAAGGTCACTTAATAACAAGTATCTTCTAAAAGAAAGTATTATATTTAGATGCGAAACATGTTTCCAGTCTAGTGACATTCCAAAGGCAGGATAGTTTTCTTTTTGTTTTGGGAAGGTGTGGTCACTCACTTATTTCAAACTGAAGCAGCTTAAGAGTATCAGCTGTAGCAGTAATAGATAAGTGCCTTTTATTACCAAGGATCAAAAAAATGGTCTTAAACTGTAATAGAAGAAAGCATTTTTGGACTAAGAAATATTTGATTCATAATAACTTTTCTAAATGCATGTGTTGAATATAGTTCTGTATAATCATATGTAATCAGTTCATGTTTCATCAGTATAACTGTGTAAATTATCATTACCACTATTCTAACTAGAGTTAACTAGTTGACATGCCTTTCCCTATCAGTCGCTGGAAGTTGTGGTGTAGGGTTAGCCCAGTTGCAAAAGTTTGTATCAAGTCCATTGTATCATTGTAAGTCAAATGGATGTATTCTAGATATTTTCCATATACTATGAATTACATTTTCAAGGGGTGTAGAGTTGGATTACAGGTTCTGGTGTATTTGGTTCTTAGATGAATGAATATAAGTATATGTTATTTAAGTGCACAATAATTATAACTGATTGACATAAATTCATGCCAAACTTCAGGGAAGGTTAGTCGTTTACTTGCTGCAAAAGACCAGGATTTTTATAGAGTATATTTATGCCATTTTGCTTTATGTTTGGATGTAATGTATGTTTTGGGCTAAATATAATTCCTTTTATATGAAACAGAGAGAACAAAAAAGTTGGGAACATTGTACATTTCTATAGATTTTCCTCACACTTTCCCTACAGAACTGCTCACATACAGATTGTTTGTGCTTGTGCCATATGACATTTTTTTAGTGTGTTAAGTGTAGCTCTTTGGTCGTCATTACTGGTGTTTGTCCTCTTTATTAGGCAGTCGAGTGTTTCAATTCCTCCACAACAGTGAAATAACAAATATAGAGTAATTGTCGTAATTCCTGAAATAAATGCAAAATTGAAGCGTAAACAGATATGGAAAGAATAGAAAATAAAATCACATTATCACAATAAAAGTATTTTTTTAAAAGTATTATAGTATCTCTCATCAGTATTTAAACCTAAATTCCAGTACATATGTGTAGTTTTATTATAGTGTTTCTCCACCATATGGTACATAATTCATAAATAAAGAAAATAAAGACACTAATCTTATGTTCTGTAGTTGGTTTGTGTTTTATTTTTCTTGACGAGGTATAAAAGCTTCACATTATTTTTATCCTGTATGTGATCTTAAAGTTAACCCATTGCCGACGGAGAAAATGAATAAAAAATGGGGAAAATACTGTGCTCATTTTTTATATTTTGTGAAATGTCTCTGCACATAGATGGCTCTGCCTTACCTGACTTCACCATTCCTTGATTTGGCAGGAAAATGTACTTTTTACTAGTGCTATGAATATCAATGGTGTTAGTTTTATTATAAACATTATAATTAATATAATGTTATAAACATTAGTAGTAACAAAATAAGATAACGTAAATTATTTTCGTAAAATTAAAGAAAAGGGTAAATGAGTGAGAAATGCAGTACTCGTAATTGGCTCATTGGTGATTTAGTACAAGTGTAGCCATCTATGGGTAAAAACAATCAAACAAGTAAATTCACAGTGGGCATGGCATGTACATCCACGCCATGCCTGTTGGGAAAGGGTTAAAAGATAATTTTTCAGGCTTCAGCATTTCATAATATATATGGTTACCTTACATACTAGGGGATCATAAGAAGGTTTTAACTAATATATTTTTGTTTAATAAACCACTGAATTAATTCTTTTCCACTCATGTTTCATGCGTCATTGTAGTTATCTGCCAGTTTCTATTATGAGAGCAACCAGATACATTCTGTGAATAAAATATACAAAGGCTTTGCCACAAACTTTGTATACAATCTTTCAATAAACTCAAATTGTTACTTAGTGTTTCCATTAAGAATGCCATTAATTTTCTGTCAATGTAATTGTTTAGTTTATTTTCCAAGTTTAATGATTTTGCTTTCCATTATTTTGAGAACTTACCACTCGACTTGACTTATAATTTTTATACCAATATGATTTTAAGGGACATTAAAAGTACATTTCCTTTATTAAACTAAAAATAATCTGATGGACAAATAATTATTCATAAATATTAACAAGTGACAAGTCAGTCAAACAATAAATGGGTGGTAACACTGATGGGGGCATCTGCCTCTTATTTCCACCCATGAGGGTGCCTCATGATGAGCCAGCAGACGGAACCTCAGCCCATCTTTAGCTCCTCACAACAGCCCCCCAATCCCTTGCTCGTTGTTGCCGTGGGGGGCTTAGGAGTCGGGACTGAGGCCCAATGTAGGGATCACCCCTGCCTTGGGCCTCAGTCCCCACCTTAACTTATTTTGAAGGTTTTTTTCTTCTTCCTCTTCCCCTTTCCTTCTCCTCTTCATCCCCTTCTTCTGTCCACTTATGCAAATCATTAACTCATATTTATGTTTTTGCCAGTACTTAATCATAATGCTGTGCAATCTTTGATGTCTGGCACATTTATTTCTTTAGACCATTGACCATTCAGGAAATCCACAAATATTGCCTTATTTGAAACAAAAACTTTCCCTGGGGGCTTTGCCCACAAACCCCAACCTATCCCTGTACTTTGTATACACAGCTAATGACCTTAGATAGTATGGCAAGAAGGATTCACGATACACCATGCTCTGGCCTCAGGTGCTTCAGTTGGTGATCTCTGATATATCTCACAAGAATGCACACAAGAACCTTGCCTGGTATACTGAGCAGTGATTGCTGTAGTGATTTTCCCCTTCTAATGAGGATCGACTACATGTCAGGATGAATGGTACCAGATTGCCAAATGAACAGCATATTAACCCTGAACCATAGGTTCACCACCAACCTTTAACAGTTCAGCAGGGATACTGGAAATACCCACCTCTCACCTTAGAGATTGCCTTCCAAACTGGTAATAGGTCTTGAATCAGTCTCATGGAGTATCCTCTGATTGGACACATGGTCCCTCCAGGTATACCCCACGATTCTGCGAAGACACTTAGTACCGAAGGAGTTAAGACGGGCTTTCAGAGCACTGTTCAGTGTCCAGGTCTCACACCCGTAGAGTAAGACCGGGATCACCAGTGCTCTGAAGAGCCTGATCTTAGTTCTCCTAGTCAAATACCGACAGCACCAAATACTCCTATTGAGTGAATCCATAACGCCGTAGGCCAGTCCGAGTCGTCGAGTGACTTCCCGGTCGGAAACTCCGTCGCTCTGCACTACACTACCAAGATAAGTGAAGTTATCCAAGACCTCAATGTTCTCGCCACAGGCATGCACAGACTGAGCATCGACATCCAAAAAGTCCCCAAATTCCTGAACCTTGGTCTTGGTCCAGTTGACCGCGAGTCCCAATGGCTTTGCCTCCTCATGCAGCGCCTCGAGAGCTACTTCCAGGACCTCTAGTGTCTCCGCTAGAATCACTGCATCATCGGCAAAGTCAAGGTCTGTGACCTTGAAATTACCAATTGATGCCCCACAGGAACTACGGTTCACGGTACGGCCAAGTATCCAGTCCATACAAGTGTTGAAAAGGGTTGGGGCCAGGACACATCCCTGTCTCACCCCGGCAGACACCGGGAAGAAGGCAGAGATGCCCTCCCCACACTTGACAGCACTCTCAGTATCTGTATACAGGCCAGACAGCAAACGAATAATTCCAGGGGGGATCCCACGGAGACCCAGTAGGCTC